TATATATATATATATATATATATATATATATTAGTGGTGTCAAAAGAGCGTTAACGCAGGCGATTAATTTTTTCAGTTTAACGCGTTAACAATATTTAACACAATTAACACAGGGGCGCGGTAGGGTTGGCAACCCCACTCACAACTGCTGCTTCTGTCACTTTTTCTCTTGACAAGAAGTGCATTTATTCAGTCGCAGAACGACACGAGAGACGTTTCAGACGCGCGCTCCACTTCACTTCAGAGCCAGGCGCAAGTCAAGCAAGCGTGGAAACGGTAGTGTGCTCGCAGCACGTGCTCTACAATTGCATGCACAAAGACACCGGCGTGCTCTGTAGCCTGTATCCTGTCATATCAAAGTGCTAAATAAACTATGTGCATGCAATGTCGTGGTCAGTTAAGTCATGAAGTTACCAAAAAGGCGATTAATGCTGCCTTAAAACTGTGCATGCATGTAATAAGAGTCACATTTAAGAACATGTCTCTGAAATGGTTTTCAAAACTGTCCTGGAGCAGCCCAGCACTGTCTCACTCATCTAACACACCCGATTCAACTCGTCAGCTCATTAATAGAGACTTTAAGACCTGAAGTGGGTCAGAAAAAGTAAAAAGAGTTGAGAGAAAATATGCGTGTCAGATCCGCGTTACGGTCAGCAGCGGCAGCTCTTAAAGAAATAGCAGCCAAAACAACCAAATAACCAGCTGCTGTGATGTCTATTAATCAAAGGACAAAGAAAAAAAAGAGGGAAAAATAACTTTTATAGCTTTAAGGATTCATCTATATTTAATTTAGAATTTAGTGTTTGATAACTTCAATTTCTGTATATTTCTGCTGTAGGGCACAGGTAAATATGATATTTATTATAATGGGTTTATGTGAGTGCATTTATTCAGTCGCAGAACGACACGAGAGACGTTTCAGACGCGCGCTCCACTTCACTTCAGAGCCAGGCGCAAGTCAAGCAAGCGTGGAAACGGTAGTGTGCTCGCAGCACGTGCTCTACAATTGCATGCACAAAGACACCGGCGTGCTCTGTAGCCTGTATCCTGTCATATCAAAGTGCTAAATAAACTATGTGCATGCAATGTCGTGGTCAGTTAAGTCATGAAGTTACCAAAAAGGCGATTAATGCTGCCTT